GTATAAAATATAATAATAGATGAGCCATTAGAAACAATACACATTTAAAAGAACATGGTAAAAGGTATTCAACCATGGTTCTTGTATTGCACATTGCTGTCCTGAATGAAGTTGATCATATTACAGTTATTATCATATAAATTTGGTCAGAAATGCTAAGTAACATCTGCCACAGAGCATCTTTCTCACCTCTCTGTGAGGAGATCTCATGGGAGGTCACAGGCAGCAAGTTTCACAAGCCAGGTCCTTGTGTACTGTTCTACTCACTGTTGGGGCTGGCTTTTAGTCAGGCACTCTTGGGTTGGCTGCCAGTCTTAATATGGAAAGTCTTCCAACTCTTGTGACGGATGAAGAGCTACAACACAAGCTCATAGCTAAAGCATACTGTATGCCAATGTTCAGGAAGGAGTCTGTAAAACTCCAGTCTGGACTTCAGCAAGCCATGGAAAATGGTATGACCCATTCCAAAGTGGGTTGTGTCTTTATCTAATAGGATGAAGGAATAAAAAATGATTCTTATGTTACCTGCAAAACTATTTATCAAAGATCCTAAAATCACGGACAAAAGTGAAATTCTCTTTTTGATTCAACTTCATCTTACTGATCAAGGTAAACAAAAATACCCATTAACTATTTTGTCACAACACTATTATGTAACATCTGAATTCTATACTGCCCATGGATAAAAGAGTTCATCAAAAATCAGCAAATTCCCTATTGGTTTGATCAATTAATATACTGACGTTAGAATGGAGTATAATGGACATTTTATTATTTATACAGTGTTTGTTCCACAAACTTTTACCGTGACACATAATAAACATCCATGTCTATACAGTTGCAGATTGTTTTGTGTGCTCCAGTGTAATTAATCATTTCATCATACATCCTAAAGCTGTGGGGCTTACCTCTCTGAGACTAGTCCAAAGATGCTTAATTATGTGATCAGTTTGCACTTATAATAGGTACTAAAATAGGTAAGTGCCTAGTACAATTTGGAATTTGTTAGTATATATTGTTTGTTCTAGTTATCAAATAATTTATAAAGTTGGTTCTATATGAGTTGAATCTTTAATTCATATCAAAGTTATTTGAATCAGAAATTGGAGTGTTAAAAAATTTATGCAGAAAATCAGAGCCTGGTTATTATGCTGTCATGAAGTTACTATATAGGTTGTAAATTTTTTAGAAAAAAATTATTACATAATTAATATAGACTTTAGTAATAATGGTCCATTTATTCATAAAATTAGACCATTTTAGTTATACTATTTGGATTGGTTTTGCGTGTGGATTTATCCAATATCTGTTACCCTGTGCATTCAATCCTTAATAGGTAAAATGGAAAATAGCCCAGAAGTAACTTTTTAATGTACACTTCATATAAAAACACACATATACTATCTTTTGCCACTCTTAAGAAGCAAATTGTATTCTTTTATTTTTCATAGTACAGCAAAAACAAATCAAAACTTCATTAATAGCTTTTCACGATAAAGACCGAATTATTTCCTCAAGTGTTTAGTGCTCCAGTTGGAGTCACTAATTTCCTCCTTAGTGAAAGAAATGGGAGGAGACAGACTATAATCTCAACCTGTATAACTCAGCATTTTCAAAGGACTTCCTAGGCAACATGAATCATCACAGCTTGCCGGATGAGCACTGCAGTTGTTGGAGGACTCCCGTGCAATCTGATTCTGAGTGCACTGCTCCCTGGTGTATTTCAGAAAGGAGGTTTCAAAGCTTTAATGAAAGAAAATTTCCATGCTCTCAACTCTAGTCATAGATGAAAAGTTGAAAACAATTGAAACTAAAAACTACTCAGTAATGTATTGTTTAAATAAACTAAAACTAAAAATTTTCCAGCTATTTGGTAAAATCTGTATCTATGGGGGAAAAAAAAGAACAATGCCATGAATGGCTGTTGGGGTTGGTAGAGCAAACTGACAAAGAGGAGAAGATAGCTGGAGAGCCCAGGCGATACAGATCAAGGCATTAAATGAAGCCGTAATTTTTTCCCCAGGGCGGAGAACAACCTACAGAAGTGATGATGAAAAGACTTGATCTGCTGAGGTCCAAGCTTTGCTGCAGACTTGGTCTAGGAGTTCATGTGAGCTCAAGGATTCTTGGAGAGCTGAAAAGGTAGAAGGGGTTCCCGTGTGAACATCGCTGCGGCTGGTCCCAAGCCCGCCGCAATCTGGAGCCCGCCTCTGGCTTTCTGCCCTGCTCGTGCAGAGTAGGACCGCGCAGAGTCTGATTGGAGCGCTGTGTGTGTAGCCAAACGCGAGGCGAGGGTCATGCAAAGGGGCCCATGTTACGTCAACAGAGCACAGGATTTCCCCAAAGATTCCGGGTGGAGGCTGTGAATTCCCCAGGAAAGGTGCAGAGATGAGGTTGCGAGCATGTGGTGGGCCCAAGAGAGCGGTGAGCTGGAAGAAACGACTGGAGCACAGGTCAGGAGCGCGAAGAGAACCCTGCGACTCGCTGGGCGCCGAGGCACGTGGCTGTTTCAGCCCACGGAGTGAATCCTCTTGGGTACGTGAAAGGCTGTAGTGCTCACGGGCCAAGATGATTAGTGGGCAGGCTGAAGGGAGGATGCAGGCATCTGTGTCCTTAAAGTTTCCCAGACCATTCTGATTCAGCAAGGTGAGGAGATGGTATTAACGGAAACTAGAGGGATTTTGAGTGTACTTTGTGATGACCCCTAGGAATTTGTTTATGTACCAGTGTCTGTTTCGGCCCTGCTGAGAACTTCTAAGGATGCAACCATAGGCTGGGAATTTTTGAAGAGCTGGACTTTGAAATTTGAAGAGTATCATGCCTCCACCTTTGCACCGAAGTAGTTCTGAGGCAACAAAACCTTGGCAGAGTAAATTCAGCAAACTACTAGAGTTGTCAAAAACGAGACTAATTTACTTCTTAAAATTTATCCTCTTTCACATTGGAACTTTACACTTGACTCACTAGGTCTAATTTAATCATATCCTGTGTGTAAAATATGTTAAATACTAATTAATGTTTCAGATATAACTATCATTATGAGTTTTAGGCAAAACCTATTTGATGAAATTTCTAATGCTGAAAACTCGTGTTTTTAGTGCTATTTCCTTTTAAAAGTTAAAATAGAAACTTCCTAAAATCAATTCAAGTGAGAGAATTTTATTCCTTCAGCCTCATTCTGTACTTATTCATTATAATGAAAGTTAGAGTATGTAATATTGTACTTGAATACTCAGAAAGAAAATTGTCACATAAATAATTAATACTCTGAAAGGCTGAATTTAATTTGAAGGCAGGTGATTTTCTTTCAGTAGCGCTCCAACATGGAAGGTGAGTAGTCGATTAGACTTACTTATGGAGGGGAAACTAGTGCTAATGGACAGCTTTATGGGTTATGCAGAATCACAGATGCAATTTCTGTATCATCATCAGCTGTGAAGAGGAAGAGAATGCTTTAAGGTGTTTTAGGATGCTAAATTTATTTTTCAAATTTAAATAAAATTTATGTTAACTGGTACGGGAAAGTATTAAGTGGCTCGTGTTAATAGTGTTTCATGTTAGGTTTTGATGCCTGCATATATATGTAATGATAAAATCAGTGTAAGCATATCTATGTTCTTAAACAATTACTACTTTTATGGTGAAATATTTGAAATATTTTCTGGCCTTTTAAGACATACTGTCACCATTGTCACCTCTGGTGGTTTTCCTGTGCAATAGCACCCTGGAATTCTAAGAGCAGCTCAGGATCCAGTGCTCAGCCTTCGGGTCTTCTTGCCGTCACTCCCTCTCCTCTGCTCACCACAGTTCTACCCTCAACTTCAGTGGGATTAGTACTGAAATGGTACGTGTATGTTATATGTGTAAGTGGGCGCATGCAGTGCTTCTGTTTCTGTGACTAGCTTCCTTCACCTAGCAATGACAAGCTTCCTTCAAAGTTGTGGCAAAATAAAAGATTTCATGCTTTGGATGGCTGAATAGTGTTCCACAGTGAATGTTCATTGCAGCATTTGCCATCAATTGATGGATGATACCTTCATTTTGCACTATGATGAGTAGGGTGGTGGAGAACATGGGGTGCAGACATAGAGGTGCACACTGCTTTGATTTCCTTGCATACCAAGGCAGGGGATGACAGATCCTATGATACTTCTAGTTCTCATTTTTTTAAGCAACTGCTATGCTGCTTTCTCTTACTGCTGTACTAATGCTCATCTGCACATCTCACATGCAGTCACTGTGCTTCCCCCACAGCATTGCCAGCACTTTTTATTATTAGACTTTTTAAGAATAGTAATTCTTGGGCTGGGGAGATAGCTCAGCAGTCTAAACACCTGCCTGGCAAGCACAAGGACTCAAGTTTGATTCCTAGTACTGTGTCCTATAGCCCTGGGTGCACTTACTGTGCCACCCCCAAATGAGGGATGGTGACACATAATTATAATCCCAGCACTAGGGAGATTGAGACAGGAGGATTACTAGTAATCTGAACTGCATAGTGAAACCCTGTATCCAATTAAAAAAAATTCTTTTGGATCTTGTTTACTCTTTCAGCTTCTTATACTAGAGAGACAATACAATATTTACACAGGCAGGCCTGATTTATCTCACTTAAGAGTATGGTCTCTAGCTGTATCCATTTATTTATAAAAGCCTCAAGTTTATCTTTTTTTATAGGTTAGTAGTCCTCCATTGTGTAAAAATACCACCTTTTTGATATCCACTCCTCAACTGATGGTCACTTCATTCATTTCCAGGATTTAGCAATGACACATTGTGCTGCTAGAAGCAGCACATATTGGGTGCACGTATTGCCTATGGTATGATGTTTTCATTTATTCTGGGTCTAATGGGAGCTCTAGTCCTAGTTTTTTTTTTAGAAATCTCTACCTTGCTACCCACAGTGATCATACTACTCTAGATTGCCACCAACAGTACAGGTAGATTCCTTTTTGTGAAAGGGTAATAGATTGTTGAACTGGGAACAGGGAAGAGCAACTGGGATGGAGGAAAGAAGAAAAGAAGGCAGGAAAAACAGATATATAATACACAATTTATCATAGCTAAGATAAGTGTACTAGTAAATTATATTTGTTCATTAGTACTTTTGTTTGATCAATTTTACATGCCTATAACTGATACTCTGAGCAACTACTTTGAAGATAACAATATAATCACCATTGTTAATTTCCTATCATCTTCTTTTGATTCCGCAGCATGTGGTTCCAGAGATTGAACCAGGATCCAGATGCTTAGACTGCCGAGTTATCTTCCCAGCCCCAACTATATGTTTTAATGTATAATTTATTTGAATACAAATTTTTACATTGACAGATTTTTAAACATGTGTAAAAATAAGCTTGGATATGATTTGAATATGTTTTGGTGTGGTGCCACTTAAATTCATCTTGATTCATGGCCCACAGTGTAGTTGCACTGAAAGAGCTGGGGGTGTTTGAGAGCATTTGGGATCATAAGCCTTTATGAACA